TTTCAAAGAAAATATCTATATTTCTCTAGATACATTCAAAAAAAAAAGTCTTTCTCCTATGTAAACAATCGCCATATTGGCAATTTTCTTCCATGTGGCACTTACGTGATACTTATGGATCGTCACATTAGTTATTAGATAGATTGTATTTCCTAAACCTAAAAGCAATAGAGAACTTCACTTGCAAAGTGAACTTGGAGACTTTAATTTATAACTATATATTGTTCATTTTTTTTCACTAAACATGTTCTTTAAGAAACCTCATCGTATGTGTCACCTTAATTAGGATTAGCAGAGATAAAAGCGGTTGAATAAATCAATTATTTCCTTCATTTTAACTTGTCCCCTATAACAGAAATACATTTCATTTTTAGCATATCAAAAGTATCCTTTTCTTCGTATATTACCGTTATTAGCATTAGCTTTATTTATTCCTTAAATCAATTTCCAAAATATAAGACTGAATATCAATAAGTATTATGATAAAATATCTATATTAATTATTATTACTTGAAAAATGTACAAATTTAAATTGAACAAATTAAAGTGAACGGGGGAATATATAGTACGAAACTATTTTGAAAATAATAACCAAATGCAATACTAATCTCTTTTGATTTATTTTTTATCATAAACATCAAGCGTTATGAGTACATTTGCAAATATATTTTAGTGGATTTGACATTTTGACTTGACCCTTAACAACTATGATCACCTTCAATGGTCACCAAAAGAAATATTTGTTAGAAAAATCATTTCGCCCTTTTTATGTTTCTTTTTTAAAGCAAAGTGCGCTTGTTTTGAACACTTTGTTGTTGAAAAAAACAGCAAAGTGTGCTTGGCATTTGAATTAGCCGGGGATCATTCGAAAATAACCACTCTATTATGGATAAGGCTTGTGTACACTTAACTATTTTTAAATCTCAATTACAGAATTGTCTGGGTGTGTAATTGTTGTTGCTCATTTAAAAATCACAATTAACGCAAAATTGCAGTATCTCAATTTAAAAATCACTACACTTAGTGGCAATTAATCAAAAGTAATATTTTAATTACCGTTAAATATATACGTTTTAAAGTCAATTAGCACTCTGTAAATATCTCTAAAGCCTATAACGGCATTGGATCCAACGACAATTAACTAATGCCGATAAAAATTTTATCACTCTTTGTTATATATATATATCGTTAAAAACTGTTTTGTTGTAATGATAATTAATATACAATACACATTTAGAAAATTTCATAAAACTAAAATATTTATAAAGGTCATCATTGAAGGGAAAGCAACGTCCACTTTGAAGTAGTCAGTAAGCTGACAAATACATAAATTACAAGACAACATAATTTTTTTAAACAAAATTGATGGAAGGTGTTACAACAAACAGAACACTGAACAGGTCTCAATTTATTATTCAGCTAGATCAGCTACTTTACCATTATTTTACAAATATGCTTATCTTTGGAGAATATTGTTTGGTAAATTGATTATAAAATAAAGTAATCCCACTTATTCAAGATCTAAGAGTATAAATCTATTAATTAAACTAAGGCAGGTGGTATTACTATTAAATCTATAATATTAGCACTAGAATATGCCATGATGCGGTTTTTCATCACGAAGTTTCCAAGAAGATGGCTCATCAGCTAGGAAAATTTGAGCAAAAAGTACCAAATCTGACTTGGTACTAGTAGTTCTAGTACCAACATGGGTTGTGGTGCACTGGTAAGAGTGTTTAAAGTCTCGGGTTCGAGCCCTGGGTATGGAGAAAATCCCGTTGAGAGCGCCACCCACCCCCGAATGGGCCCTGTAGAGCGCGATCCAAATTTAATCGGAGCTCCAATTGGAGTTCCGGACACCGGATGGGAAACCAAAAAAAAAAAAAAAGTACTTCTAGTTCTATAGTCTTAGTCTCATCTTTTGAAAACATCTTTCTTTTTCCTTTTTTCCAAAATTGATGGATAAAGAAATGAAGTATTGGAGGTAACCATTGAGATCGAAATAACAAGATATCATGCGACAGCTAACAATTGTAAAATTTTAAATGACGATAAATCAACTAACAAAGAAAACTATACTAAAAGAAACATAATATTTTGATATGATTTAACAAGTTGACCTACATATGAAAAACTAATAAAAAAAAGTAGAAAACTATATAAATAATAATCTACCGCTAAAAAAAAACTCTTAAATCCTTAAAGAACCATATTATTGCAAATATTATTATGTTATCTATGCAAATAAAGAATCTTCAATTTACAAACGTCCAAAACTTATTTTCAAGAGAAATATAAGTATGAAAGAGTTCATTTCCACCAAGAAATTAAAACCTTTTTTCATCCAAGATAGATAATTCTAATTAATGATAGAATATTAAGATAAATCCTAATAGTAAGTATACACAAATAATCATTCAACTTTTATTTTATCATACTATAAATAATTAAATTACCACTATTTATATTTATTCAACTTGCTTAAAATTCACAAAAAGTGATTAAACACTTTGCTTTTATCAAAAAAGTCTTTCACCTTATTGGTGATGGTGCGATTTTCCACTTTGTAATCGTCTCCTCATTTCATCTACCTCCAATTTTATTTTATTTTTTTAAAAAAAACATCTTCATGATACCCAAGTAAAAGTGAGTGATTGTTTAGTTACAGAGATTGTTAAAAGACTTTTCCTTATAGTAAAACAAAATTGAATGATTTTTTTGTTACAAGGATTGTTTGATTACTTTTACGATATTTAGCTAAAATTAAATATATTTTTTATTATAAAAATAATTTAATAACCTTAATATAATAAAATGAAAATTAACTAACCCGAATTATTGCATTTTTCCTTGCGAAATAATGAAGAGAGTCGAAAACTAATCTTGTTGAATGGTTTTCTTTTTCGTGGTCTTTGCTTTTTTCCTAACCAAACCAACTTTTAGAAGCTGTCCCACCATAATTCTTCAATTCCCATTGAGTCGTGGACAACATTACTTTCTGCATAAACTCCTAGGATAGTTGCGGCAATTAGTTAATGATAATAGTTAAACTATCGTTAAATATATATTTTTAGTCACAATTAATATTATTTGTAAATATTTTTAAAGTTTATATTAATATTAGATTCAATGACAATTAATTAATACCAGTAAAAGCTTTGACATTCTTTATTAATGTGTATATTTTTTGTCATTAAAAACTACTTTTGTTATAGTGTTATTCTTTTAATCATTAGTGAAAAAATGAAGAAGAAGAAAAAATAAAAGCCAAAATTAGTTGTCAATATGAAAGCATACTTTGCAATTGAATGACGGAAATCTATATAAATGACTTTGTTTTATTTTCTTTCTATTTTTTCTTTTAGTTTAAGATAACATATCATAATCTTATCACTCCTAGTATGTCCACATATCCATTTGAATATTCGTATTTTCACAACATGTATCTTCTGAATATGTAAGTTCTTCACTGGCCAACACTCCATCTCATACAACAAGAACAGTCTAACTATCACTCTGTAATTTATAACTAGCAAGTGTTTGATTGCTTGATCATAAACACTTTTATCCGATAAACTACTTGCTAAGAGCCTGAGGCAAAATACAATCAAGAAAAATGAATGAGTTATTCTTTATAACGTATTTCAATTTTCTCTATAATTTGAGAAATCTGTCAAAAAATAATTTTCTTAGTATGCTAGGCAAGACTTGTACCTCTTATGGTCAATCCATCGATTTTATAAGCTTGCTAATATTTCTGGAGAAAAAGTATAAGAAGTACTCAAGTATGAAATCTCAATGTTGTATACAAATTTTACACACTACGTATATCTGAAAAGTCAAATAAACCAATTTAAATATGAAGTGACACTATATTTTAAACTTATTTTACAAATTAAAGATAATGCAAAAGTCAAATAAACCAAATTAAAGACAAAAGTGTCACTAAATGAAAAAGAAATCGAAAGACTTATTTAAGTTGGGGGTGACTCTAGTACTTCCTCCATTTCAAATAAACTTATTTAATGTGTTTCTCTTTTTACATTATCATTTAAAAATATTATTCAATTTTTTTAAAAATATTTTATCCTTATTTTTGTTTTAACATCTAATCTCTTTTCATTAAATATTTACTCTATTTATATGTCACACCAAATAATTAAACTGTATGCAGTCTTCAATAACAATTACTATTAATAAGGGTAAAATGAGAAAAATAGTTATTTTTTAAAAATTTCTAAAATAATAAATAATTTTAAATAAATATTTTTGAAAATCACTATAGATAATTTAAAATAATGGAATAATTGAAAATTCGCATTAAATCAATAAGATTAAAGTAGTGTAGAGTTCAAATCTAAGGTTTTCTCCTTCACTTAACTCCCCTGTCTCCAACTCATTCATAAGTTAGTTATCACCCAACTTTTATTTCACTGAAATAATGTTATAGGATTATTTTTAATAACATAAAACATAAAAATTCGCGCAACTTTATTCAAATATACATAAAATTCACTAAATATATATATTTTTTATAACAGAAGAATTACTACTAATTGAACTTTGCTAAATATCTCAATAAGTCACTAAACAATTCTCTTGCAACCAAACGTCATTCAACATTACTAGAATAATCTTTTTATTCCTCTTAATGACTTTCTATGATGTTTATTTAAATAAATAAAATTGAGTATATAAAAACATTTAATGATTTATAATTTTATATATATACTAGTACTAGTATATACATTGAAGATTCTGTTTACGCGTACGGCTGTCTACTTGTCTCCGGCTACTACCACATAAAAGTCAAACTCCAATTTTAAGGACATTATGGTAAATTCATTCATTATCCACTTCGATCTTATAATCCCAACTGTTTCAAAACTTTTTTTTGTAGAAGTTTTCTGTCTCTTTCCAAAGCATAAAAACAGTATTCCATTTCTAATTTCAAGTAAGTATTGTTCAGTCTATCTTTCTTGTTTTTCACTAAAAATTATTACTTTATTGAATGCTTTTTCAAGCAAAGAAATTTTTAAGCCGTAAGTTTCCAAGAATTTTCTTTCTCATCATATTATGTCCGATCTGTCAGTTACTTTCTCTCAAAGCCACTGCTTTTGTCCTCTATAAGAGGTAGTACAACACTTTTTCAACTCATTGTATTCCTTTTTGTCACTTCTTGATTTTGGGATTTATGGTTGTTGCCTTCCTTGCAATTGCTAAAGTTTCAATCTTTTTCATGTGGGTACTGTACTAATGACATGATCTGTTTTGATTCTTCTTTATGTGACCGTTATTCTTGTTTTTATATGTAAAGTTGTTTGCTTTGCATGGTTTTAGTTTCCATTTTGCTATATAGAAGTTTATGGGGTTGTTGATTTCGTTCCTCTATTTATTTAAGTCTATTTCTTTGATACTTTAATGCTGCTTGGCGTCCCTGTTTTGCTTTTAATTTGCTTGTGGTTCACAATTGGTTAGGTCTGTCATAAAAGCTGTCAATTAAAACTTAATAGAGTTGTAGTTGGAGACACCCCACAAGTTAGGGTAATGTCTGCGTATATCTTAACCTCCTTCTCCGGACCTACACTGGGTATGTTGTTGTTATTGAAGTGTTTCTAGTTGGAACTTGTTTTTTTTTTTACCTATTATTATGTCCTTATTATGTGAATTTTCTCTTATTTGGTCTTCATGTTTGCTCTGTGTGTTATTTGGTTTGGGCAAAGTCTAATGATATAGTTTCTAGCTTCAGTGATGTTAATTTAGCTTTCCTTCACTATTATTTTGCTGAAAATTTATGGTTTTAGTGTTGCACACTAAAAATACTACTCTCTCTGTCCAATTTTAAATGGAGCAATTGGAATTTCGAGATTCAAACTTCTAAAATTTTACTGTGAATTAGGACATACAAGTTTTAAGTTTTTTGAAAATTACGGAACAAGTACTATAAAACACAATAATTAACAATTTAAAATATTTAAAAGGCATATAAAGAAATTCCTGTCTAAGAAAAACTTGGTTGACTCTGGAAATTCCAATTATGCCACATAAATTGGCACGGAGGGAGCATAGTAGTGCTTCTTTGCTCAAACTGTTAATTCTTATATCTCTTTTCAGGGAATGAGATTATTGAGGATAATTTCTGTGGAATTTAAGTAAGACTGAGGATTCAATTTGAGATGGAAGAAAAACCATTCCCTGCCTGGTCCTGGTCTGTCGATCAGTGTCTGAAAGAGTACCAAGTAAAATTAGAGAAGGGTCTAAGCACTTATGAAGTAGAGAAGAGGCGAGAAAGATATGGTTTGAATGAACTTGAGAAAGAAAAGGGGAAGCCTTTGTGGAGGCTTGTTTTGGAGCAGTTTGATGATATGCTTGTCAAAATCCTCCTTGGTGCAGCCTTCATCTCATTTGTTCTAGCTTATCTGCATCAGGATGAGACTGGAAAGTCAGGGTTCGAGGCCTATGTAGAACCCTTAGTAATCCTGTTGATCTTAGTACTCAATGCAATCGTCGGAGTATGGCAAGAAAGCAATGCTGAGAAAGCACTGGAAGCATTAAAAGAGATGCAAGGTGAGTCTGCAAAGGTACTCAGAGATGGATATTTAGTACCGGATTTACCAGCAAAGGAGCTTGTTCCAGGGGATATCGTGGAACTGCGAGTTGGTGACAAAGTGCCAGCTGATATGAGAGTTGCCACTTTAAAATCCTCAACCCTAAGGGTTGAACAAAGTTCTTTGACAGGGGAGTCGATGCCAGTTACTAAAAGCACCGATTTCCTTGCTATGGATGATTGTGAATTGCAGGCCAAAGAGAACATGGTTTTTGCTGGAACGACAGTTGTGAATGGTAGCTGCATCTGCATTGTTGTGAACACGGGGATGTGCACAGAAATTGGTAATATTCAAAGACAAATCCATGATGCGTCAATGGAAGAAAGTGATACCCCTTTGAAGAAGAAACTTGATGAATTTGGTAATAGGCTTACATCTGCCATTGGCGTTGTTTGCTTAGTTGTGTGGGCAATCAACTACAAATATTTTCTTTCCTGGGAGGTTGTGGATGGCTGGCCTTCTAATGTCCGTTTCTCATTTGAGAAATGCACATATTATTTCAAGATAGCTGTTGCTCTTGCAGTGGCTGCAATTCCCGAAGGTCTCCCAGCTGTAATTACAACTTGCTTAGCTCTTGGTACAAGGAAAATGGCACAAAAGAACGCAATTGTGAGGAAACTTCCAAGCGTGGAAACCTTAGGATGCACAACTGTGATTTGTTCAGATAAAACAGGAACCTTGACTACCAATCAAATGTCTGTGTCAGAATTCTTCACATTGGGAGGGGAAACTACAGCCTGTCAAGTTTTTGGCGTCGAAGGTACAACTTATGACCCTAAGGATGGAGGAATAATGGGCTGGAACTGTTCCAAAATGGATTCTAACTTGCTACTCATGGCTGAAATATGTGCAATCTGCAATGATGCTGGGGTCTTCTGTGATGGTCGTCTGTTCAAAGCCACTGGATTGCCTACTGAGGCAGCTCTTAAAGTTTTGGTGGAAAAGATGGGAGTACCAGATAGCAAAGCAAGGAGCAAGATTCGCGACGCACAGATTGTATCGAGCTATTTGATTGATCGCAACACAGTTAAATTAGGTGAACATAACTTTACTTCACTCATCTATCTATGTGCTACTATTTTCAAAAACCAATGTATTGAGATTCTTTGTAATATAGGATGCTGTGATTGGTGGATGAAAAGATCAAAAAGGGTTGCAACATTGGAATTTGATCGTGTTCGCAAATCCATGGGTGTTATTGTGCGGGAGCTAAATGGGAGCAATCGACTTCTTGTCAAGGTTGTTTCATGTTCTTTATGGTACATCAATGAATAGTAAAGGAGTCCAGTGTAGTTGCATATTTTTATTTGTATAATCAGTTTCTGAACTACATTAGACACTAGAGATAATTGGTCTCTAAAATATTCTCTTTGTCTGTTGGCCTCGATATACTCAGTTTTCTGGAAAAAACTGTTATTTTGAGTCTTATTCTATTAATTTTTTTGGCGTGCTTTAATCAGTATACACCTAAGAAATTTCAATTGGCATGCAACTGAGTCTGTATTATCTTTATCTATAGGAGTAGGTTCAATGTTGTTCCTTTACAAGATGCTGTGGCAGTTTAACTATTTTTTAACGTTCTCCTGTTCCCAAAAGTGGAAAAATGGGCATCAACAGTTTGTCAACATTCTTCAGTCTCCAAACATGAAAAATGAACATCAACAGTTTGTAGTGTTATCTGTGTTTGCTGCAAAAAATGCTTCTGTGTAGTTAGTTCCACAATGAAGTCATTTAACTCTAGGAAATGCTTAGGTTTTCTCTGATTATGTTGAACTTACCACTTGTTCAGAAGTTGAGCCTGGTCATCTGTTGACGTCTGATTAAAACTTGTTTTGTATAGGGTGCTGTTGAGAGTTTGCTAGAACGTAGTACATATGTTCAACTTGCAGATGGATCAACTGTTCCGATTGACGAGTCTTGTAGACAACTATTGTTGTTGAGGCACTTGGAGATGAGCTCTAAGGGTCTGCGGTGCTTGGGCTTGGCATATAAAGATGACTTAGGTGAGCTTTCTGGATACTATGCTGCGACTCATCCTGCCCACAAGAAGCTACTTGATCCATCCTGCTACTCCTCCATAGAAAGTGATCTAGTTTTTGTGGGAGTTGTTGGTCTGAGGGTAAGTAGGTGTAAGTTTCCAAGAATAATGAATAACTATCTAGAAACCTTCATTTTCCTTATAGTTTGACTAAATGACTGAAATGCAGGACCCCCCACGTGAGGAAGTTCACAAGGCAATAAATGACTGCAGAAGAGCTGGGATCAAAATCATGGTTATAACTGGAGACAATAAATCCACAGCTGAGGCCGTTTGCAGGGAAATTCAGTTGTTTTCTAATGGTGAGAATCTTAGGGGGAGTAGTTTTACTGGCAAAGAATTCATGGCCTTTTCCTCTCAGCAACAAATTGAGATATTGTCACAAGATGGAGGCAAGGTCTTTTCTCGTGCTGAACCCAGGCACAAACAAGAAATTGTAAGGATGCTGAAGGAGATGGGTGAAGTAGTTGCAATGACTGGAGATGGTGTCAATGATGCACCTGCACTAAAACTTGCTGACATTGGAATAGCCATGGGTATAACAGGAACTGAGGTAAAAATAAGCTTCTCCCGTGTGGTCATTACAACACATTTCCTGAATTGTTATATTGGTGCTCTCATTCCAATTATCTAACCGTGTACTACCTAAAAATACACTCTTGAAATAGGAGAGTAGTGAGGTCTTCTGAGGGACTGGTCGACAACTGTGGCACTAAGTTTATTATCTAAATCTCTAGAAGTACCCATGATTCTGCACCCTGCATGCGATTTTTTCCTGAATATGTTTTAACTTATTGATCATTTAATTAATTAGCTGATCAAAGATTTATATGTTTAGGTTGCAAAAGAAGCTTCTGATATGGTTCTGGCGGATGACAATTTCAGTACTATAGTCTCTGCTGTTGCAGAGGGACGTTCGATCTACAATAACATGAAGGCCTTTATCAGGTTAGTCTTATATTTCTGGCATTGAATATGTGATTATTCCTAGAATTAGTCACTCTCTATTTACTTAATTTCGTTTGTATTCTTTGCTGATGCAGATATATGATATCATCTAACGTTGGTGAAGTCATCTCCATTTTCTTGACTGCTGCTTTGGGCATACCAGAATGTTTGATACCTGTGCAGTTGCTCTGGGTAAATTTGGTAACAGATGGCCCACCTGCTACAGCTCTCGGATTTAACCCTGCTGATGTTGACATAATGCAGAAACCACCTAGGAAGAGCAACGATGCTCTCATAAACTCCTGGGTTTTCTTCCGATATATGGTCAGTTTGGATTGCTATTTCTTATTCTTCGATGTGTATTACTATATGTTGCTGCATTTGTTTTGTATCTTGCTACTTTGCGGTCTCTTTTCTTACAATCCCACATCGTATACTGCCCTTTTGTGCCGAGGGTCTTACATTCTGATTCCTGAGATAATTTTCAGGTCATTGGTTCTTACGTGGGCATTGCAACTGTCGGTATATTTATAGTGTGGTACACCCAGGCTTCTTTCCTTGGTATTAATCTTGTGAGTGATGGCCACACACTTGTTGAACTATCACAGCTTCGCAACTGGGGTGAATGCTCAGCGTGGCCAAATTTTACCGTGAGTCCATTCAAGGCTGGTAACCGCCTGATTACCTTTTCTGACCCTTGTGAATATTTTACTGTTGGTAAAGTGAAGGCCATGACACTGTCACTCTCTGTCCTGGTGGCAATTGAGATGTTTAATTCTCTCAATGCCCTCTCTGAAGACAACAGCTTGATCAAAATGCCACCTTGGAGAAATCCTTGGCTTCTTGTTGCAATGTCAGTCTCGTTTGCCCTACATAGCCTGATACTCTATGTTCCTTTCCTAGCAGATATATTTGGTATTGTCCCACTAAGCCTAAATGAATGGCTTCTAGTCATCTTGATTTCTGCACCTGTTATTCTTATTGATGAAGTCCTCAAATTTGTGGGAAGGAGAAGAAGAAGAACTAAACTAAAAGCTGCATAATGTATTCTTCTAGGATATGCTCGAGTTTACTATTGACTAAAGGAGGTTTGATTAAATGTATATTGTTCAGAAATGAAAAATCTATTTGGGGTGATAGTTTTTGAGGAACTCTGTAAGCTATATAGCCTTTGATCACATGCCCTGGAAGGCTTCTTGTTATCATAAAATTCAAGGTTTCTGAAGCAAAACCTGTTGTGTTTTTCCCTGATCCTTTCTAGGAGGGGTTTCACGTATTATAAATTCTAGTTTGTATAATTCATTTATTGAATCTGCTATCTTACCGTAGATTTTGATGAACTTAAACACCTTTTTCTGGTTTTGGTGCTTGAAGTTATATATCTCCTCTATCAGTGCTATTGCTATTGTTGTTGTTATCTTTTTCCTTTTTCTGGGGGGTGGGGGGCTGGCTATTAGTGTGGAATTAGTGATCACAACCAGGAGGGAGTTAATTACATTAGTCTTGTGTAATTCGAGTTGGTGGAGGAGGAATAACTCTAGACAGAATAGGAAGGAGAGACATGTAAAAATTCTATTCAACAATAGAATCCAAATCAATATCCATGGTGCTTACATCAAACTTTAATCTAGTTGTGACTAAATCAAGCAGTGAATATATCTCATTTGATTTTGGATGGGATTTATCCTCTACTATAAACTTATGAATATCACCTCCCTCCTCAATGAAGCTATACCCTGCTGCTTTTGTAATCTGAGAGGACTTCATCAGTTTCCTTAACCTTGCAACACCATCCCACCGGCCAGTTCTTGCATAGATGTTTGAGAGAATAACATAATTCCCAGGATTCCATGGCTCCAACACAGAAAGGAATTCGGCTGCTTTCTCAGCCAGTTCAACATTGCCATGGAAACTGCAGGCCCCAAGAAGAGTTCCCCAGATAACACAATCAGGTCTCATTGGCATGCTTTGTATAAGATTATAAGCTTCCTGCAATTTCCCAGCCCGGCCTAAGAGATCAACCATACAGCCGTAGTGTTCCAACTTTGGAGCTATGGAGAACCTTTGCTCCATCAATTTGAGGAGTTCCCAGCCCTTTGCTACCATGCCTCCTCCATGTGTGCATGCTAAGATTGCTCCTACAAATGTTACATCATCAGGTGCATTTCCTTCTCCCTGTGTCAACAGCAGGACAATCATGTAAATTCCACTGTAAAAATTCCTTCTTGCTGCTATAATTGGATGTTCATAGGCATAACAACGGCAAATAAGAACAAAGAGAATATTTGCGAAGGCTTACCAGCATTTGGTTGAAAAGCTTAAGAGCTTCATCACCTTTTCCATGGACAGCTAACCCCATGATCATGGTATTCCAACAACACAAGTTCCTCCTCCTACCAATCTCGTGAAAGAGTTGCATTGCCCTATCAATTCTACCACATTTCGTATACATTTCAAGCATCGCATTGCAAACAAACATATTCTTAAAGTATCCATTTGCTCTTGCATAAGCTTCAATATTCTCCCCAACCTCCAGCGCCCCAAGATTTGCACAAGCCGGAAGAACACTAGCAATTGTGACTTCATTAGGCTTTACCCTTCTGTCTTTCTCCATTTCCTTGTAGACAGCTAGTGCATTCGCATACTTCCCATTTTGCGAGTAACCTGAGATCATTGCAGTCCAGGAAATCACATTCCTTGAAGGCATAACTGAAAACAATTTGAATGCTTCTTCCACATTTCCATTCTTGGCATACCCGGCAATCAAAGAATTCCAAGTGGGGACATCCTTCATTTCCATCTCGTCGAAGAGCTTTCGCGCAGAAGGCAACAAACTCATTTTAGCATACATGTCAACAAGTGCAGTTAACGTGTAAATATCAAATTCAAAACCCCATTTGATGAAATGGACATGGAACATTTGGCCTTGAATGGGGCTGGAATGATTGGTGCATGCTGCAAAGAGAAATGTGAAGGAGTGTGGGTTAGGGGAGCAGCCTTGCCGGCGCATCTGGATGTAGAGAGAAAAACACCGGCTGGGAAGTCCATGGGAAGAATAGGCTTGAATGAGCTTGTTGTAGAGGAAGACGGTTGGTTTGGTAATATTGTCGAACACTTTGTGGGCATACGGGATGTTTGGGATTTCAATAAGCTTAGTGATCAAGAACTGTGTAAAGTCGATGCCATTTCGGAGAGTGTTGCCGTGTATTTGTTTCAGTTGGTTCATAAGAAATGTTTGATGCAAAAATCTATCTTACAATTCGAAACTCGGTGAATAATGAAAAGGATTAAAAAATCTACCTTATAAGAGATTTAAATGGTGTTAAATGTTGGTATTTGTAAATATCTGTGTCAGACTTGTTGGTTCCAAGCAACCTTCCCAAGTGCAAAGACCAAAATAAATTTTTAATGAACATTGACACACCTTGGAAACGCTTACTTATTTAATTATTCTTGGATCGGAGGTTCAACATAGAAACATAGTTGGATTTTTGTAATCGATCTCAACTTGTTTGGGGTTGAAGTGTAGTTATTGTTGTTGGAGCAACGAACAAGAAGTTGTGGACAATTGAATTTGATATAACAACTACATCTTAATCCATAGTAAGTTGGGGTAGATTATATGAATTCTCTGCACAATTTAATCTCATCTAATTTAATACATAATCTGTATTGTGAAGATTCAGTCATATATTGACTAGTTTTACTGTAGTTATTAGACTACTGCAACCCTATCTTTGGGCTCGGACCAATAATGTGAGCAAGTTCATGGAGTTGAAATACTGGATTTGATATAGCGAAAATTTGTTCATGTACAAGGCATATCCAAATATTGTTCAAATTTAGTAAAGAAAATCAATAAGCTGAAGACGGAACAGACCTTACAACTACATATAGTGAAATTCAAACATGAGTGGAATGCTAGCTGATGAACAACATTCCAAAGAAATGCTAAAAGAGAAAAGACTGCCAGTTTAGCGAGTATCCCGTCATGACAACCAAGTGTAAGAAGAAACAAAAGAATCAATAAGCTATTACTTTGATCAGTAAAGAATTCAGAATATATTACAGGTGAATCAATTGGCTATGACTAAAGAATTCCATTACATATTTTACAACAAAGACTTGAGTAACCACTCTATCATGGGGAGGTCAGCCCAAATTGCTTGTTTCCCACTTACACATAAATCAGGTTTTATCAAAGTATTTGATTGTTACTCAACCCCTATTCTTAAGAATGCAAGAATTTCAAAAGAAAAAAAAAATTATATTACCAGTGGTTTCCTGAATGTTCACCACGATTGCCAGAAAGCACCACAAGATATCAGATGTAGGGGCTTTGCATTTCACTTAAACCAGGGCTACCATGCAATCTTCAGTCACTCAAACTCCTGCCTTCCTAACTGAGGTTCTTTCTCATGAAGGTGGGGTTTTATGCTATCTTGCTCTAGTCGCAACCTAACTGTAACCAATTTCTTCATCTAATTGCACTGTGTGTGCCTTCAAGGGTCATGGCTCTGCCTTAGAAATAAGAGGACTGGTCATGAAGCACATTCAACTGAGCAAGTACCTTTGCTGCTACAGATTTGATGTTGCTAGTTCCTCGTTGTGTCAAGTCAACTAAAGGCATTTGAGCAGAGGATCCATACCTCTGCTTGTATTCCAACAACCTAAAAAGTCTTTCTAATGAATTCAGAACCTTTTCTTGCAGTCTAGGGGAAGGACTATCAAGTAGTTTTATCATTGATGGTATGGCATTTTCTTCAGCAAGAACTTTAGCACCACTTTGAAGTTTTTCATCCTTAATTAAAGTCAATAAGGCATCCAAAGAAGCTTCACAGGCTCCAGGATCGGGATCCCCAAGAACCCTCACCAGAGGTCCCACGGCGCCAGCCTCTACCAAACAAAATGAAGTTTCTAGTGTGCATATCCCTCGATGAATAGGGCAAAGTTCTACTTGTGAAGGTGAGAAGCACCATAACCCCGAACGCTTTGGGATTGTACGACTCAGTGTTTGTGAATTCTCTGAAAGCTGCGCAAGACAAATTGCAGCTCGGTTTTTTGTCAAGCTTGTTCCCAGGTCTAGCAGTCGTATCAGCTTGGGGACAAGGCCAGCTATCCTCTGTGTTGGTTGGTTTATTGAGACTGTGAAATGACATAATGCCCCGACAGCATTTTCTACCAGCTGAAGCTTACAGGAACTCTTATGATTTACCTCATCAAGATATTTAGAAAAGACTGGAAGTCCTTCCGCTGCAAAAAGCCAATCAGAGATTTGAGGAGATTTGGGAAGGTTGGAGGTAATCCCCATTGCAGAAACAATCTCTTCTTCGTCCTGCGAAGTCTTGATGATCTTAAGTAATCTTTCAACAAAGTTTTGATCCACGTACTCCTGGATCACACCTCCATTGCCATTTTCAATCAAGCAACATAATAATTTGATTGCATCTGACCGTACATTTGAATTGCTATGCTCACAGAATTGCACTAGCATTTGGACAGCTGAGCACTGTGGATGCAACATTCTCAGTATTGAGTGGGAAAGAAATTAAAAAAACAAGATATAAAATACTAATGGAGCCACCTTCAACAGCAAAGCTACCGCTATTTTGAGTGGGAAGCACAAAGATAGCAGAAAACGTGTCGAGGGCAGAGCACAACTTACACGTTAATGTGTATACATTCAGGGTGGTGCATAAGTGGGTTTGTGTTTAACTATATTATAGTATGAAAAAGTAGAGCAACAATTAAGTTTTTCAATTTGGGAAGTGGTCAGCTTTGGCATTATGATGTAAACCCCATGTTTGCAAGAATTGGCCTATTTCAGACCACACCATTCCATTCAAATGAAGGGAGTCATCAAGACTTCCTAGTTCAATTTTGCGAGAGTAGAAACGAGTTGCTGATATTCTCTGATTGACAAAACTAAAGAAAAGAACAGAACGATTTTACATATTGCAGGTTCAGAGCTTTTGAAGGGATTTTTTTATAGAACTCATGAAATATTTTTGTAGAAATATCCAAAAAATCCTTTAGTATCGAGGAGCTTGACAGCAGGAGCATCAAAAAGTAAAATGAGTAGTAAGAACCATAACGTAATCATATAAAACTGTAACAGTCTGTCAGTCGTTATGGCTAAGCATGAGTTTTGATCATTTTCCACAGAAAGGAATTCTATGTAGCTGTCTCATGATATTGCTTATAACAAGTCTCAAAACAGGTAGCATCTCATATGCAAGTTTCAAGAAGGATGTACACTAATAACTCAGCTAACTCTAAAAAGCAAGTTTTAGTTACCACATCTGTTGCTGCTTACTTAATGGGTGAATTTATTTGATTAAAGTAG